ATTATCCCTCCGTCGTTGGTCATTGCATTGTACGCAACAAGTTCACTGTAAGCAGTTATGAGTCTTTCAGCGCGCTCAGCATTAGCATTAGCGTCACCTGGATTGACCCAAAAATCAAGACCAGCCAGCCACGTGACCTCTTCACCTGAAACTGTGACGCGAAATTCCACGCCTCCAGCCTCACAGAATTCAGTGTAATTGGTAAAAGTACTATTTGTTAGCGGATTTTGAAGAGACGTGATGCCTACAACGTCGTCCAAAAGAATGTAGCCTAGCACCTCGTAAGAAAATGTACAAGTCTCGCCATCAGGTTCCACTCCAAGCGTACACAACCCACCGGCATACTCGGCACGACAGGCATCAGTCTTATTATCCCACCGATTTTGTGGGCAGCTATTGGGGAACGAAAACCAATAATTGTGCGGGTACGGTGCAATAACTTCGTTATCTTGCAGTGATCCACCAATGCAAAACCCTAACTCGGGCTGACCATTAACTCCAATGAATTGGTCACAAGCGTCCGGGAAAGTTCCATCGACATTGGGATGACATTGACCATCGTCCATTGGTAAAAATGGGCAATGCTCAATTGTAAAATCGTGTTCATCTGTCATGTTGGCATAGAAGTCTATTGCAGCTTTGGGTTGCACTATTGTTGTCTGGTAGAAAACCACGTACTTGATGTCATTTTTTCGTTTGCAATTTATCACAACTGATGAGTTGATACACTCGGCCTGAACATATTTAAGAGCTCCTTCGACGGCTGCCATATTGACAGTATCAAGCATCGCACGGTACTTGTCGTCGAATGTCGTGTGATAATCTGATACAAAGCGCTGCTTTTCAGCATTCCATTGGGGCATATCGCCCTGGACACGAGCTTGCAGCGATGTAACTTTTTGAAATTTCTGCGGTGTTGCCTCAGGGCGACCGTTTTCAATCGGACGGGTATGAACATAAGCGTGAGTTCGACAGTCGTGGTTAGCGAGCTGAAATCTTGAAGAGCTCGCATCAATAGAAACGGTCTCCCCATTAGTATAGGGATTATAAGTCGACCTATTGTCTGACGCAGCGAAAGCGAGAGCAGCTGTTGTGAGCTTAAATGTTCCCATGGTAAAGTTTAAGGTAAAGAAAGACTTGATCAGATGATTTTTCTGGTGTGTTGTCTACAGGTGATCGAGCAAATGAGGAAGTGGTAACAATTTATGCGAAAGATTCGTTGAGGCTTAGATGCATTAAGAGGAACCCAAAGACTGAAGTGGGTTACAGCGAGATGCCACATATTGGCTTAGTTTCAGATCGATGTTTCAAATGAGCGTTTGCAACATATATGATTGTGTGCATAGTAGAGTTTCAGATCCTCGCCTGTTCGTTTTCGAACCTTTCGACATTATCATCGTCTCATAACTTGATGTCTATTGAGCCGAATTTGTGACTCACCACGTGGCAAATAGGACTTTCAGATAGAAAAAAAAATTGTTTTTTGAAAGTATGCCATGTACCTCTATTTTAAAAGTATAATTGTCGAATGTACCATAGTTGTCATTGTTTTTCATAGCATTCCATCGACTCTTCAAGACTTTTTTGTTGCTCCTAACGAAGACTTTTTAAGTTTGATTCGTACTTCAACACATTTTGTAGTTTGGTGTCGTGGTCAAAAGTCGGAAGAAACGCAAGCATTCAGTTTTGTTATTAGTACTACTGTTTCGACATGGTGCAAAAGTTAAATCCTACTGTGTCTGCTCAGTCTTGCGTTCTATCTTCTGGTTGTCATCAGATCTTACTACATGATGACTCAAGCAAGATGTCCTATTTTGTCTCATCTTGCAAGAAAATCAGTAGTCGACATCCTTGCAGTCATTATAAACCAAAAAATCCTTTTCAAGGCGAAATAACAGCAATGATAGAAGTGAGTCGTACCGGGTAACAAAAAATGATCAAATTAGTTTAATCTTCAATGGTTGGCGCACGAGATTAAGCCCTGAGGCTCTTCAAGATGACGATCTTGGAAAAATTAAATACCATAACCTCAAATTCCGCGCTAATCATTCGATCTATTCTTTGCCTCGTTAGACTCTCCAACCTTCGATGCAGGATTTTAGCATCAGTCAAAACGTCGAATTTCGAGTTCTGCTCTGTTGAAAAGCTGTTGCAGCGGTCTTCATGCGTCAAGAAATCTGCTGCAATGCCTTAATTCGCCCGCGGGGAGCGCTCTTTTATCGATTGAAGTGTCAAAAATCAAAAATCAAAGCTAAGAACTTCTAATCATCAGCATGTATTAAATGCGCAATTTCCCAAAATCTCTCAAAAGTGACAACAACTTGTGAGTTATCGCTTGTTGGGGAGCAATCGTGAAAGTGCACAAGCTTTGTTTCAGCAAGAAAAGTAACCACTGGAGTTACTGCATCTACACTTCTCAAAAGTGCAATACAGCCGTCATCTGGGAACCCAAACTTGCTTTTTCGAGCAAATATCTTCATCATATACGTCTTTAAATCTGCAGTATCAAAGTAACCTTTATTGTCCACATCAATTTCGCGAAATAGCTTTTCAATGCCAGCTCTAGACTTTTCAAGACGAAATAATCGTTGAAAATGTTTCAAAACCCGAATTTGCAGTGCTTTTCGTGCCTGTCGTTGCTGATAATCCAAAAGATAAACAACAAAGCGAGCATAATCAATCGTGTGTTCGTATTGCTCCCTCGAAAACATTCGCTCCAGTACACATAATTCCCATTTTTGCAGTTCCCGATCATGACGAGATATAAGATGGTAAGCTTTATTCCAATCCTCACTTCGTATTGTACCATCGTGCAACTTGTCGAACTTCTTGAAAACTTCATTCGCTTCGACTATAGAATATGGAAGTCTCATACTGCTAACCATTGCATCCCAATCGAATAACGCATCAAAAAAAGCGTCGCAATTAATAACATTCTGAAGACAAAAGGTTGGTGCGTTTCCACTGATGTGTGACGATCGGTGCACGATGCTCTTTACAAAATCGTGCAAATCAAACCGATCGACATCGACGGCACCCGCTTCGTGCAACATCTTGCTCAACTCTTTTACCAGATCTTTATGAGAGATCCACCCCTGCGTTTTGCGGCTAACTTTGTCAAGTTTTCGACTCAAATCGTATCTTTGACAGCACTCTGCAATGATCTTCCTCAAATACTTCAAGTCATGTGTATTTGGAGGCCGAGCGGTCATGTTTGTGTCCCTCTCATAACGTTTTCTATCGAACCTGCAATTTCGTTCCAAAAAAGTTATCAATGCTTCTACACGAACTTTTCCATTCTTTTTGGACTCAAGTGATGCGAACAAAAACAGCATCTCGGCTAGAGTAAGTCGATTTGCGTTATTCTGGACCATAAACGCGTCATGAAAGTCCTGAAGTGAAAGCTTGTCTGATTTTTTTTCTATCGCATTGATAAAAGACTCAATCTTTTCTCGTTCAGGCAGAAGTTTTACGCGAATGTGTTTGAGAAATTTATTGTCATTAAGCTCAAAAGATCCAAAAACCATACTTAACAGCATATCATATCGTAAACTTGAACCAGCCTTACCATCATTTGGTACAGCCAAAGCTGCTTGTAAAACTTTCATATCATCGGCGGTCAAATGTCGACTAAATATTCTCTCGAAGTTTTTATATGAAATAGCATATGACTTGCCAGGGTCTAGTCTCGCCATGATTCTTTCAAGTTGAGCTCGCACCTTCTTTTCTAAACGGATGTCCCAGCCACATAAAGTCATATGAAGGTTGCGCCAAAAATCCCAATTCAAAGCTCGATTTGTATGTTCTGTTTCAATTAATTGCGAAGCAAGCAGAGAGCCCCCAAAAATTGCATCTAGCAGCTGATGATATGCGACACAATCACCCAAAAATGTGTCATCTACATGACGATGTATGAAAGGCTGAGAAAGCTGAATAATCTCGTGCTTTTCAAGCGGAAATGGTAACTTCAAAGCGTGATACTTGACCAGCTTTTTTTGGAACACTCGGATTAAATCTAAAAGTAGAATGCACTGGTCACCTCGGAAGTCATATTTGGAGCAAAGATTATCAATCAATAGGTGAGCCTTCTCACTTGTCGGTGGAAATCCGTTCTTCAAGTACTCATCAAGACAAGTCAATGACTTTTTCTTGACAGACTCGCGAATGTCGGGTTGTGCATAAATGAGAATATCCATCAACACATTGATAAAATCTTTGTAGTCAAGCTGAGCTTTTGTGTCAAAATTTAATCCCATGCATATCTCGCTAAGCCGCCGCTCATTTATCTTCAGCTCAAACTGGTCAGTCAAAAGCCAACAAAGCTGCTTTAAACTCACAAATCCAGTCATCTCAGCATCATTTTCGATCAGCAAATTTTCTAGTTGCTTCACACCGGCGCTACAATTTTTTTTTAAATCAAAATAATTTAAAAAGAAATCCAAAATAAACGATCGGACGTACAATTGGAGTCTGCTTGCTATCTCGACTAGCCCTTGTTCATGGTCATTGACAAATTGTGAAATTGAGCTGGAAACCGTATCATTTTTAATAACGGTAGTCGTTGCGACGTTCGGATTATCGGTAGCCGGCAAGATCTGATCTTTAGTTGACTTTATATCTGCTTGACGCCGTGAAGTCTTAGTCAAACGATCGACCGATTTAGGGCTGGTGACATGATGTACATAATTCGATTGGCTGCTAGAACGTAGGTTTGTATTCTGAAGTTTTCTTTTGTCGAATTTAAAGTGTGGTTCAAGACTCACTTTTGAAATGACAGAAGGTCGAGTTCTCCAGATATCAAGAGATCTAAGAGCATCACGAATATTCACCATAATCTCTCCACCTTGCTCAGTTGTAAATTGATACAAAAAATCCTGAATGTTCATCAAAACAATGATACATGATACAATTTTCAAAACCATTTGCTTACACAACGACAGTACCTCCATCTCTTCAGTAACAGGATCTAGACCGTTTGCTGGCTCTGGATCGAGATTGTAAAGAACTTCGCAAACATTTTCGAAAGACACCAACGGTTTTCTACCAACGTCTCCAGTCGAAAACTTTTCGCACAAATCCAGCGGTGACAAATTTCTTTCGCGCATAATGCGCTGAAACCACTGGTTTGGTGATTCGCTTTGACGCTCGCGACCGAGCAAGGAGTGAGTTGCTGTTTCTTTCAAAATTCCTCGATGGTCCTCTCGCTGAATTCGGTCATTTTGCCGAAATTCCTGTGCGGACGATGGTCGCTTCGAAACTAATTCCTGTCGGGACGGTAATTTCATACTCAGCGACAGCGATGCAGGAGAAGGCTGTCGATCCTCGTGGCAGCTAGATAGTTTTGTAAACGCATGAAAATCATATAGCTAGACCAGAAGGAATAATGTGATAGGAGCTAGCACAAGATTAAAGAAGATGAAATATACTTTTGTTTCCACATTGTTCTGAGCATTTTGAGTCGAGATTGGCGGTCCATGGCGTGACATCGCAAGTCATCGACGACTATGGACAATAATAGCATTACAAATAGAGCTAAAATTGAAACTCAAAGGTGATTGTGATGTTAATCGCATGGATATTTGAGCTGCGCGAAAGGAATCTTAAGTACTGTCAACATTAATATTCGATCAACGAACTGCTAAAGCTAACGCTTTTTACGCCCAGGCATCAAGGATCTCCTGACGGGCTTTCTTGAGCTCCTCGTCGTCGCGATCCTTGGCTTCAATCGAGATGCCTGGGAAATTTACCTCAAAAAGCTCCTTTAACTTAGGCAAATCGACCTTGGGCGGAGCATACGTGCCGCTGTTGTTGTCGATCACAAGCTTGTACTTGCCAAAAAGATTTTTTTCGATGTGAAACTCCCCTGCGTACTTAACTGCGAAGGCGGCGCCAGAGTGCAACATGTGCTTAGATAGCATGTCCTTAAAGAAAGCTGCACCCGTCTCAGAAAAGTACCAGCCCGTAGGAGTGATGGCATACGTAAACAGTACACGCTTCTCCAAACGCTGGCCGTAATTGATCAGCTTGAAAAAGTCGGACGATTCTTTAAGGAGACCGTATTGTGTGGTACTTGCGTGTCGATACACGACTTCGTGCTCAGTGGCAATGGCTTTCCGCAGCACAGGAGATTCGGGATGGTCAGGAGAGAAGATCTTCTGGATGGTCGGATAATTTTTATTCCATTCGTGATCAGTTGGCAGCAAATGAGGAATGTTATGCAGTTGAACGTGGAACGCCGACGCCTGCAACTTGTCGTCATTCGTCATGGTTTGAGTCAATATACCAGAAGTTGAGCTGATGTGCTCCGAGTAGTGCACCGGACCGTACTGCTGCAATTGATCGTCACCGTGCGCTTTGGTAAAGTGTGACTTGACATTGACGATAATACTTCCGGCTGGCTTCTCGTTTCGGTGGATAGGTAATTCGAACGTCGTAACTGAGCCGTTTGTATTTGTCGCAGTAAATTGCGTCTGTCCGAGGGCATCGTCTCCATCAAAGTCTTCGTCCAGAAGAAAGAGTTTACAGACAGTGTCGGGTTTGACATTTCTAAAAAAAAACTTCTCGTTCCACACGGGCTCGCGTGTGTCAAAAATGGGTCGAGTCCAAGCCACTTTTTGACCCGCCACCTCTATTAACGCATAGGCGTCGCTGGAACTGATTTTGCCCTTGATTGCAGCCTTCATGTCGAAATAGTCACCAGCTGCGATGTTTTTGGCGGATACAATCTCGAGTTCGACATCAAGAACCGAGTTTTCGACGTCACATTCGGGAGATGATGAGGAATTGCCCATTTTCGGTTAAAGTGGGGGGGAACGCAAGTTGAAAAGTGAGTGGCTTCAACTCATATCATTGGAAGATTGCAAATGCCACGTACCCATTTGCTTGCGACATGAAAATATCCAATGTACATAGATTACGGCTGCCTGTTGAAAAAGAAGTACGAGTGAGCTATCTGATTTTTCATTTAGAATCTCTTTGTCAGTTTGATTTTCTTAAATAGATTTTGTAAAGTATTTACAATGTCTACTTTAACTTGCACATCAAGTTGACTAAATTTTGGTAAAAGTGAAAATCAGTCTCGTCAGCTGCTTCATGCATGCTCCAAGCTTCACTGATAATAGACTTAAATTATTTATTTTATTCTTTGGTGCTGCAGAAAAATCAAGTCCAAGCAAATATCACCGCTTTGCTTTCTCGTCCTCTTTAAGCCCTGGCGATCCATCCGTTCGGGGCTCGTTACTGGACGCAATCGACTAGACGAGATTGTTGATATATTAACGTATGCATGCTAAGCGCCTGTTCTGAAGGCTAGAACGCTTTTGTCTTCGCGTAGACTCACTGGTCACTGCTGACTAAGCTAGAGTTGGAGACTACTAACCGAAGGGACAATTGCCGTTTGGTGCTAATACGTCTATTACAACTCCATAGCGCTACTCATCACATATCAAGCGCGCCCCAAATTATCTTTCGGCTTGCTGCTCGCCATACATTAGACCATCACGACGATATAACTCTCCAGCGTTTGCAGTCCTATTTAAAGAAGCTGCGGAACAGGTGCGACTATACTAGTAGGCTTTGTCTATCTTGTCATTTTTTCAACGAACTTTTTGATGCATCTTCTAGCCTTCAAATCTATGAAAACTCTCTTCGCAGAACAACAACGCTGACTTTATCTTACTGCTTCCAACGAAGGACTTTAGAAGTATACTTAGACGTCGATGTTGACATGGCGGACGGTTGGACATCTGCTCCATTTTTGCTTAATTAACGTGATTTTCAGCGATTCATTTCGAGCTCGTCTGCATGAGATGGGGGCAAATGCATCTTACCATGCGCTGGATGTTAGAGCTGCCAATGCCGCCAATGGCTGTTGGCATAGACGATGAGGTAGTGTCGTATCACCAAAACACAAAAATATGTATGGTTTTGTTTTCGATTGGCAAACATTTACCCAGATCATGCATCACCACGCTGCAAAAGCACGCATAATTTGGGCCCAGCTAGCTACGTACTTAATACAATAATCGACCACCACAAAAAAAAATGTTGCCTAACCTTCTTCTCTCCCTACTATTCGTATAGTAAAAAATCTATCAACGGTGCGCATGCATTCCACAAGGGAAAACTAGGTATCACATGTCGTTCCTGTATTGACATACATACGATATATAGCGCACTCAATCATCTTTTTTGCGTCATCCGACAGCAGAATTACATAATAATGGTCCTGATGTTTGGCAACAAATCCATAGCCAGTTCTGGAACCAATTTTGTGGTGAGCGTACCGTCGAAATGCGATTAAAGTGCATTTATTGGCTGTTTTACTTAGCGACTTTATTGCAAACGCCTAAGACAAATATTACAATGAATTCACTCAATAGTCTGATATTATTGCTCATCTCTAGCCAGGGTGAATTTGATTTTCAAAGTCTCAAAAACTGTATCAATCTTTTTTCGCATTTGAGTTATAGTGGCAATTCACGGTAGCCATCGTTCTCGAAGTAATCACAAGTGTACAACGGGTCACATGCTGCCGCAGTCGAGGAGTATCCAGGAATACCCAGAGGTATTATCTTATTTCTGCCATTCGTTTCGGCCGAGCTTGAGGGAATGCACCGGAAACAATACGTAAAGAAACTTAGGATTGAAAAATCCTTCTGTTGGGGCTCAATATCGATCTTATCGATCGACAACATGTCTGGACAGCCATCCATATTTTTCGATCTTGATCGCTCATGCAGCGTGAACTCATCTTCAACATCATCGTCGTCTTCGCTGCTGCTCAATCCTCCGCTGGCACTTTGTATCGCTTCTCCAAGAAGCATCGACAAGCGTCTGGCATCCGACTTCACCTCGTAGAATTTGCTCTTGATAGCATTACGAGCAGCTTCTTCCGTTTCATGATCCTTTATCGACTTCTCAACGTATTCAGCCGTTTTTTTCTGGACTAATACCTCATCTTCAACAGCATTCACCCAACATTTGCACTCGACACCTGATCGAGCTCTGCACTTGAATTGTCTTTCTCCATCTACGCGAATTATAAACGTATTTGTGGAGGTGCTGTCACCGCCATTATCAATTGCTATCCCAAGCAGCTCGTATATTGCCACAGGACTAGGCGCTTGTTTTGACGAAACTGCTTGAGCTTGATTCGCGTATACAAGCCAATGAGATCCCATAAGAACGCAATAGCGGAATTTCCAGCGCTTTAACGATTTCATTTTGACTCCTCTTTTGACAGATTTATGCCTGTCTTTCACCTGCAGATAACCTTCCATTCGAGCACCAGATATAAATGGCAAAGTAGCATCACGAGAGATTGAGGATTTTGTCATTCCCTTTGTCGTTGCAGCAGTAATGTCACTTTTCCATTGAGATGCGAGTTCTGATGTCTTTGCGATAATCTCCAAATAAACACCATTGCTTGTCTCAACTCGAAAGCCTGTCTGTGGAACATTTCGACCCAGGCTAGTAAATACTGGATGCCAATTATTCACTCCTACAATTTTGTGCTTTTCCATTGCCATATTGAACAACTCCTCTTCGCTCCAGTCATCCATGCCACACTTTTCTGAATAAATTGTTAACGTGCTATCGTCGAGCATTACAAAGCGCTCATGCCAAGTGGATCCTACACTTTGGGTCCGCACTTGAAGATATCCTTGATTTCGTATTCTTTTATCGGTAGAGCCGAATGTGTTGTCACTTTCATCATCTGTGACTGCAGCAAGATGAGCTGTCACATCGTGAGTGAATTGTCGCTCTGAAAAATGCAGCAATCGTTCTGTATCATATTGAAGTTCATGGTGCATTGCTTGGATCCACTGATTTTTTGCGTCAACGGTTGGTGCAGTGAAGTATAAATTGCAACGAAATTTTTTAACGCGAATCTTCAGTCCAGAAGTTTTAGGTTCCTTGTTTAGCGCCAACCAGGATGTAGTCGGCGCTTCCCACGATGAACATGCTGTGATTTCGATGTCAAGAGACGGAGGCTGGTCATCCACTGACAAAGTCAGATCTTGGCTTGATGCAGATATAGAAGCAGCAGTTGCTGCAGCTTCTTGAGAGGAATAACAACGCAAACGGCAGCCAATGAGAACTGCGTATACTGGTACTGTTGCTTTCATTTGTGAGCTACGAATATGAGATCCAGACATCTGCCACGGAGTCAAGATACCCTCCATAGCTGCAGTCGTAAAGGCGAAATTCGACCTCTTTGCATCTATATTACTGCCGTTTGAAGTCATCGATATCTCATCAAATCCACTGTCATTGATATTCTCTGCACCCTGACAACTATTGCTGTTAGTTACGTTGCCTATTGCTATGTCTTCAGAAGATTCTTGCATCCCCTCTGCAAATGACAGCAAAACTTTCTCATCCCTATAAGTCGCCAGGCTTTTAGCATAATTGATCCCTTCGGCAAATGCATTCATCCATTGATCATGTTGCGATTGAGCAGTGAGGAAAGCTGTCAAAGTCTCACTATTCTTTACTTTGTCGCTCGCAGTTGTATCGTTGCTTTCATCTAGAACTCGAAGCACGACAGTAAATGTATCGGAAGACAATGAACCATCGCCAGTAGCCTCGGGAAAGAATTGCTGTACCCTTGACAGCATCTTTGAACTGTGCGGGCGCGCACGAACAAATGCCCCATTGTCAGGCAACTCAACTGCTTGTGCTTTATAAATTGGCGCGAACTGGTGAAAATACGAGCTTTCATCTGTATAGATAGCAACAATTGCTCGTACATCCAAAACAACGAAAAAGTCGTGCGGCTTTTGAGTATATCCACTTATATCAGAAAAAAGTAAAGAAGAATCTGGATGAAGGGACAGATATCCAGTCATCAGGACCTCGTGATTCGTTTGGAGTTGGGCGACAACTGCTTGAGGTGATACGACGACCCTAGGATCACTTACTTCTTGCTTTTGCCTTTCTATGAGACTTTTATGTCCAGGAGACAAGGGCGCTTTGATTTCCAGCAATTGGTCCTCAATCAGTTCCAATGCTGCAGCTTGTTCTGCTCCATATCGAAGGTGACGAATCCAATCTGCTCGTTCTACATCCGTGGCAGCACTGCAACTGAGTATAAATTGTTCTTGCGTAACAATCTGAAAAGGAAAACGAGGTGCTCGATTTCCTGCAATCACTGGCCAACAACGGGCTCCAGGAATCCACGCTCGAGTGTTCAAGACCGTAAATCGGGTCTGCGTCTCTCCTCCTTTTGTCAGTCCCCTTATCACAATCTCGTTGCCATTTTCCAGTGCCACACTGCATTCTTCAAGTGCAGTCGCCACTTCTCTACGTTTCCAATGCATAACTTGAGAACAATCAAAATCCATTCGCAATAGCAAGAATCCCTGTTCGGTAATATCGGAATCATCGCTGCCGATTAGACGGTGCTCCTCCGCTAATATACTCTGAGCCAAGACCGTGTCTAAGGCTGCACGTAGCACTTGTACCCATACTCGCTTTTCCATAGCATCACTAGCTTTAAAATGTAGCCATTCATGGTCACTTGTCTCCACTGCGAAACAATTGTTTGCAACGACATCATTATCATCTTTAATAGCCAAAATAAGCATATCTTCTTTTGCTCCAGCACTTCGACTTTGAAATTCCTCACGTGTAGCATACAGACTCATACATAAACCATCAACAGCAACATATACACTTTGTACTTGTTTCCAAGGCACCCTCGAGATGTTACTCGATGTCTTTTTCAAGTATCCATCTAATTTTAAGGTTGCAAGAGCTGTGACCTCTTTCTGATGAGGTGGTATGAGAGTTAAAAGACTTTCATCCGTGGCTAAATTCGTTCCATAAGCTTCATCAATAGCTTGAAGAAGTGCGAACTCACGCAGAGAGTAGCAGCTCAAGAGCAAATCCAAATCAATGAGCTTCGATGGGTTTCGCACACGATAGAAATCGGCTAATTTGCTGCGAAATTGATCTCGAAGTCGTCGGTCGTGCTCACTTTCACTAGTATCATCCCTTTCACGACGCTGATCCTGTTGCACAAGTGCAATTCCATGATGAAATGCGTCGATCCACTTTTGCTTATCCTTTGCTGAAGAGGCAGCACAAAAAAATGTTTTGCCGTCCTTCGTTTCGAGCTCCATCGCATGTTTGTACGTGTGGGTGGAAGTTTTACCATGCCAATCACTCACAATATCTACATGAAAAAAACCCAAGCGATTCGTTGTGGCACCACTGTTAGGGTTTTTACTATCATCGTGAGTGACATAGTACGACAATTCATTCCGTACCAACACACAATATCTCTTTCGCATGGACGGAATTTTGTGTCCGCGTTTCATTAGATAACCCTCCATCAGAATATTTGCATCTGACGGAACGTCTAATGACTTGTTTGATACTATACGCTGATGATTTTCGGCAAAATTCGTTGCGAGAACAGTACACAAAGACGTGCACACAGGATCGATGGCTAGTTCGCTTTTGTAGACTGTGTCAATTTGTTTGAGTAACGCACCCTCACGCCCTTCAAACGACTGAAGTAGCGAGTCGACCTCGTTAACCTTTAAGGGATTAGACTTTGCAAAAACGGCTGCAATTCGAAGGCGTAGTTGCTCAAGAGCACTGATCACATCTTTGACCGGCTCCTCACCATCAACGTCCACATTTGACTGCCTTGCCAGTATAGTGCATATTACTTGCGTCCAGTCGTGGAAAAACTCCACAGCATCAGCGCGAAGGAAAATTACACCGTTATTCTGAGTTTCTAAGTGAAATTCTAGTTGTTCAGCCAGTTTTGTTGTCACTGGATGTAAATTCACCGCCACATCGGACATTATAACAATGTTGCGATTGACGCTGTCGAGACATTGCCATGTGGTGCCATTCAAGACACAAAAACACTTGCGATATGATGGTATTACGAGTGGATGGTTTACGGACAGGTACCCTTCACGGTAGAAAGTAGCATTTGGCAGACCAGTTGGGGGCAATAAAGCGGCAAAATTTAAATCCGAACTGACTTCAGTGCCGTATGTGGCATCTAAAGCCAGCAACAATTGTCGTTCTCGTCCTGCAAAGCCTGAAAGGATTGTTTCCACATCGTTGACTCGTTTTAAATTATAACACTCGTAATATTCAACTAATTTTCGCTGCAAACTTGAAGGTTGCGGTTGTTTTGAAGAAAACGAAGAATCTCGCAAAACAATTGATTCCGAAGCCTTAGGCACTGAAGCTATAGAATTTTGCAATCTTGTCATCCACTGTTGCTTTGCTTCAGTTGACGTTGCCTGGAGAACCAGCAACTCGATAGACGACTTCAAGCATTCGTTTCCACCTGATATGAAAAATTGCAACCTTTGATTTTCTAGTCTCGTCCCACTCCTCGTTGGTGACGGCACTGGATAGTCATGAATTCCAGTCACTAAAAATACGTTCAGTGGTGCATCAGCTCTACTACGAGCTTCTGAATCAAAGCGCCCAAGACGATTTCCAGACAGAACACAATAACTTGGGGTGGAGTCGTTATTCCACGTAAGCCAGTCGGAGTAATCACCCGAATGAGCTTCCAAGGGATCAGGAATACTTTGAGGCAATATGGCAGGAGGTGACGGCGATTGTGTCACTAGAAATGCTAAACAATTTTGCACAATGCTACTTTCACCCATTGACGTACCGTAAAGACGGTCCAAGTGCTCGACGAGTGCTTGTTCACGTCCTTGATACCGCGTCAGAAGCATCGGAACATCGCTTAACTTGCTAGGACTATGCTCACTATAGTATTGTTGCAATACGACCAGAAATTTATTTTGTGCGGAATCATATGAAAGCTGCTTCGTTACCCAATCCTCTTGATCTGTTGCTACAGATTGCAGTGCTACCTGACTGTCACGCTTATCATTAGGATGATTTTCCTCTGTGGCTTGTTGTACACCATCAATCCAGCGTTTCATCTCCTCAGAGCTAGGTGCACTGCAGTGAATACTTTGAAGTTGGCTCGTTTGTAGTATAAATCCGTGGTCGTAATGTAGTATCGGAGCATGTCCATCCCATTTCGAAACTTTAACGATATTTAATGTGCTAGTGTTACTCGATATCTCTTGATGTGTGGCAAAAGTGTAAAGGGTTAGTGCTCGAAGTACGCAGTACCGATTCTTCATTAACTTCTCTTCCGACGTCTTAATGACCAAATAGCCTTCAACAACCACTTCCGATCTCACTTTGTTCGAGGATGCAAAATTTGTAGCAATGTTTCCTGCTTCGTTTGCCACTGCTTTTGTTACATTTTCATAGCTCTGTCGTTTTGGCGATGGCGGCGTGGCTGCCAACAAGTCGAAGGAATCTCGACGCGACTTTGCGGCTCGAGCACGATGAGGAGACAGAGGAGGCATGGTGAGTCCAATGTGAAGAGCTGCCATCCATTCTTTTTGGTCCTTCATGAGTGGTGCACTACAATGTAGTGTCTTTCCTTCAACGGTAAGCACCGCAAAAGTATTGGGGTACTGCTCGTTCATTCGAGTCCGAGGAGATGTACTGAACGGTACTACAATTCTTCGAATCGGAGACGTGGATCGAACTCTGCCATCCCACTCGGACACGTCAGCTACGTGTAATACGCCGTTTGGTGCTTCCATCTTGTGTACGTACGCATCTTGATCTGCATACCAACATAGCGTGTTGCCAGTAAGAACATAGTAGCGACGGTGCATCGTCGTCCGCATTGGATGTTGGCAAAGTAAATATCCTTCCACCAATGGATCTAGATGCGAGCGCCGAGTACTTGCAGCACCGTCATCCCATGACGCCAGGCGTCTCGTTCTTTGCTTTGAAAATTGCGCATCCTCCAAACTTTTAGTTGCCGCTTGACGAAGATTTTTGCTCTCTTCCATGCACTTTTGCACCCGTTGCACGAGGATTAGCTGCTCATTTGAAATGTCTTTGATTTGTGCTTGCAGCAACTCAATATGTCGTCTATAAGTAGCCTCGACACTGTCTGCCACTTCCACTTTGGCTGCTACTCGTTCCCTTTCTTGATTTATGGAAGAGTTTTTAGTCTGTACAATCTCTTCCTCTAGTGTCTCTTTCAGCGTCTGTAGTTTCTCTTTTGCCTCATATCGTAGCGTCTTTGCAGACTCCAGTTTTGTGTTAAGGCCAGCAATTATTAAACGATTCTGTTGCAATTCTTTTTCAACATTTGCCTGTTCTCGGTGATGTCGTCCAGCTGCTTCCACAGCTTCAGTGGCAAGTTGCACTCCTTGTCTGTGACGCTCTTCGTCTCGACTGATCTCATCCTGCGCCTCAGCAATCTCTTCTTCTGCTATACGATCAGGTTCCTTAAGTGCGTATTGCACTGACGAGAACCAAATCTGTTGCATCTCGATTGACTCTGCTCGACATTGAAGTGTGCCGCAACCTTCTGCGTCCAAATATTTGAGAATGATGTGTGAAGGATGCGTCGGTTCGGACAAAGAACTTAAAGGCATCTGTAAGTCAGTTATCTCAACCACTCGTTTAGGCGCAGCCCCTGAACGTTGAGCTTCGTCTTGAGTGGGGTAAAAGGACAACATGGTGCCTTTTAGTACGGCATAGTATCGCTTCCTGTATGCAAAATTTTAATTGATTTAAGCTGAGCTATTGACTAGGTATACAACTGATACGTACATGCTAGGAACCTTGCGGCCTCGCTTCCAGAGATACCCTTCCATGGATCGAATGGCTCAAAGTATATTGAGGTATGAAAAGGCGCAGATAATATATTGGACACCAATGTATGATGTGTAAATTGATGCGGTCGGTGGCGTGAACGATATAACCGTCAGAGATCACAGTCGCACTGACACAGCTACTGTTGAAACTAATACTAGTATTGAATATGTGACTTTACAACCGTTAGCGTGGCGTATTCCAATCGTCTACTGACGAAAACAATTTAGACTGCGGACATGAAAGTATTGCTCGAATAGTGTCAGACCGCATAATGAATATTCAGCGTGGTGGTCGATAAGTGCTTGCCCAGAGCGTACCGTCCATATTGTAGCGTGTGCAACTTTGAGACTACTAAAATATACTAGCGCGAGCTGTCGAAGGTAAAGTCTACATTATCTTGCGCGCAGACGTGAAACAATTTGCTGGATGCTTGAGGGGATCTAGAGAATTTAGGTTTAATCATTTTCTTACAAATAATGTTCCTTTACCAGCTTTTTATGTCATAATCTTAACAACGATGTAACTAACTCTATCGCGTATGTATTCTGTATTTAAAATCTCGCGTTGGTTTTGAAACAGAAGTGTTGCTTGCAATGCATGACCAGATCGGCGACACAAAAATGCCGATGATGGTTTACGATGACACGTCCAGTGGAGGTATTTGAAAATCTCAGTCAATTACACGCTCTAATTTAACAAGTGATCGTGTAGATTACGGAACGATTTTAAGACAACAGGACAAGTTTGATCCGAGAGCACGCCAAGATGCCATTACTAAATGGTTTATGTTGGCAATTCTGTCGATTCTGACTGCTGTTAATCAGAGCATTTGCTATTCGTACGCACCAATCGCGAGTATCGTTGAGAAGCACTGGCAAGACCGAGTAAGTGACCAATGCTCGTCCTGCTCATCGAAACTAATACTCTTTGGTGTTTGTTAGCTTCATTCAACCGAGCTTATCACTGTCTACTTTATTTCGTACATTCCGTGTTCACTTGTGGGCTCTTGGATAATGGACAAGAAGGGATTGCGCTACGGTGTCGTGCTCGGTAGCTTCTTGCAGACGATCGGTGCCGCATTGCGCTACTTTGCGTGTGCTTTTGAATTAAATGGAGAAATTTACATGACCTTAATCGGACAAATTTTGGCCTCTTTCGCCATGCCATTTATGGTGAATTCTCCGGCTGTGCTATCTGCTAACTGGTTCCCGCCTCAGTTGCGTGCAACATCGACTAGTGTCGCTGTCAATGCCAACGCAATGGGCACAGCATTTGTTTATCTTTCTGCTCCCTTTGTGGTGCTCTCTGCGAACGATATTTCGTACTGGAATCTTTCTGTTACAATCTGTGCAGCTGGATCTTTCTTGCTTGCCTTCTTCTTTTTTCAGTCCTTCCCGAGAAGTGGTTTGGCGCCTTCTGTCATATCGAACGTGCAACTTCGTGAAGATTACGATTGGAGTCAGTGGGCTACTTCGTTCACGCATACTGGCTTTTGGCACACATTAGTGGCTTTTTCTGTAGCTGAATGTATTTTGAATGCAATGTGTGCACTTCTGGGAAAATTCCTAAGTGTTGCCCATTTTTCCAAATCACAAATTGGGGTCGTAGGTGCTGCATTTATCCTGAGCTCTTTGGTGGGTGGTCAAGTGATCAGCCATTATGTGGATAAGAAGAGAAATCATCAAACAGCGTTACAATTGTGTCTACTTCTGACAGCTGTGGCGATTAGTTCCTTTCGACTTGTTCCAAAGGTCAATGTTCACGCGACACTTATAAGTCTGATGTTTCTTGGGGCAGCTCTTGGTCCCTTGCAGCCGATTGTCCTCGAATTGGGAGTCGAGTGTGCATACCCAACTAGTGAAGCCACTGTCGCTGCACTACAACAACTCTGTGGCAACTTCTTGTCTGCGATTATCGTGCCTGGAATGAGTGCGCTACGTCGAACTCACGTAGACACTACGGGTCACGTGCCTCCCAAGTATTTTTTTGCGAGTCCAGAGTGGGGCATGGTTTTCATGGCTACCGTGACTTTTATCATCTTCTGCTTCTTGTGCGTTGTTTTTATCTATATTGTTCTTATAAACTTTTATACTGACAATGTGCCATGTAGTAACGGCACCTTCAAAAGACGTGCTTATGAAGAGTCGAAGACTTCTAATACAGCTAGGATCGAGATTTAAATTCTCAATCGGGGAACCTTCAAAACCAGATTCTAGGTTTATCATAAATACTCATCAAAATTGTAAAATCAATATGAGCTTGTAAGTAAATAGCCAAATGTTATCAAAAAAATAAATATGCTAAAAATGTCCTTCCTGTAACACGAGGTGCAGCCACGTGACGAAATTTCCCACCAATGCTACTCAGTGATCAATTTGAAGCCCATTTTCATGCGAAACAAAAGTATGTATTTGTGTGCTTCAGTTTCGATATCAAATGCATGATAGAAGTATCGTCGTCAAATAATCTTTTTGCCCCACCATGGTATTCAGCGAGCTCTTATGATCGTGGCATTTCGTATTGGAATGTCTAGAATCGAATCAAGTTGCCACTTGACTCTTACAAAATCCTTCCTGTTATGCTTTACTTGCCAAATTTCATATCGTAGCGCTGATAATCTAATTACGGTTTTTGCTTCGAGGCCAAACGATTCTTTCTTACTCACCGCTGTTTCACAAGAAAATGCTGACTGATGCGCTTAGAGATGCTGTTGATTGTTTCCTTCATACCATATGAGTTTGATTGACTCACAAACAACGAACCATCATAGTCAAGCTCTCGGCGTCTGCTTTCAGCACTGCACACCCGATGGCAAGAAGCGTCACAGACGACACTGAAAGGGTGATCGGGGTCTGGCAACGGCAGTATTGGTGCTTGAAGAAGGCTGTATTTGACCCTGTCAAAAGCCTACCGATGCTCGGTGTTCCAACACCATTCCTTATCTTTTTAAAGGAGATTCGACGATGGCCATGACATTTCCGCATAATTTTGCGCTATACTTATGCAAGTAGTTGTCGAGGCCAAGCCACGTGCGCAAGTCCTTTAATTCTTTGGATCCGACCGGTCCACAGTGGCCTTAACCTTAGCGGGATCCGCTCGCGCCACGCTTCCCAATGAAGCACCCTAAAAAGGAGATTACTTTCGCCGTAGATGCACTTATTGGCATAAGCATACAGCTTATTCGTGCGCTTGCACTCGAATACCGCTCTTAACGGACGATGAGGATTTTTCCATCCATCCTCCCGTACTTTGCACGACTGTGGACGAAGATGCCGTCGAAGTATGCCCGGTGGGTCCTGAAAACTGCGTTACAGACGATTGTATGTTGCTGAGCATTTAACAGCCATTGGGGCACCATCAGCCACTTCTGGGGCAGCACTCACCGCTGTCAGCGATATATCACTCCCTCTCATGAGCACTTGGTAATACCCATCGACTAAGTCGAGTGCTATGTACTTCGAACACCCTACCCATGTTATTCTGGAGAACATCCTTCCTAAATATCGACGTCTGTGCCGAATTGGTAGCAGCTAGCTTATTGTAAGCGTGAGCAATACGCCGCTTGCCGTTTGGCTTCCGGACACAAAATGTGGGTGTCGAATACGAAGACTAACTGTCACGCACCATACTATGTCGTGCTTCGCACGAAAATAGGCGTCTCTGACGTCACATGACTCCTTGGGCAGGGGCCATTGGTATATACGCAGTATTTGGTTCCCGGGACCAGTTCAATCACATGACACACTCCTCGGTCCGGAGTTAGGACCGAAGGCTGGACGTCGTCTCTGGAGACGATGTCTTCGAAATTCCTTTACCAGTAGATCATACGGATCCAGGGGATCCTTCAGGATCTCTGATCTACTTTGTGCGTTTGGTACCTTCTTAGCTTCGTCTATAACAGCTTCACTTGGAAGGGAGGACGAGTTAGTCTGCTCGTTCGGTCGTATAATGACCACTTTGGCTAGATTGCCTGTCTTCAAGACAATGCCAAACTTTTCGAAGGATATCTCGTCCAGCTCAAGAATAGCACCCACCGCGGGAATAGCCTCGAGGGTGACGTCGCCGTCTTCCTTTCCCGTCATACCGTTGACAAGGGTATATAGCTGCGCGCTATCGTCTACGTAGACGCACCCTGGGTAAGGGTCGACGCCCTGCGTCTTGCAGATACATACGGCTTTGCCGTCTCCTCTTTATAGAGGTTTTACGTTTCATCGAGACTAGTGGGAAAACGACCTCGATGTCGTCCAGTGTCCCCACTCCCTGCTCCATCGGAGCCTTGATGTTATTAACAATCTCCGATGAAGAGCTGCTATTTCCGCAGTCTTCGTCCAGTGGATAACGTGTCACTCCACGCGCATTAGAAGGGCCTTGCCCAGGATGCCTTGGAACTCGTCCGACCATGCCACCCTTGGCATGCAGCAACTGCTTCGTAACAAGAGCAGTGCTCGTGACTTTCGTGCCACTCCACGTGCATCGCTGGGGCCTTGCCCTCGATGCCCCGGCCCTTGGCCGACCATGCTACTCTTGACATGCAGCAACTGTTTTGTTTCTTGTTCAGTGTTCAGTGGGTTACGTGCCACTCCACATTTAGCCTGCGACCCATGCTCGGGGCTCTTGTCCAATACACCTTTGATGTTCGAAAACTGAGATACTCTGATTTCAACACGTTGTCAGTCCCGGTTCAGTGCCCACGACAATGGCGCTTCTGCTTCGTAGCAGATGTATTTTCATGACTCATTAAAGCTCCACCAGGATACGTTCGCGTGGCGCCCAAGTTCTTCAACCTCCGATTAATCCATGGCTCATGGTGTTCCAGCAATTCCATACCAAGGGTAAGGTCATACCTTGCATCCAGCTCTGAGTCTAGACAGTGTTCCACACTATCGAAGTCAAGAAAGTTGACATCGAGTTCTACAGGGACTCTTGGCGCAGTGACACATTTCCCAGTCGCTAAGTGAACAGTAACGTAGTCACTCAGCCGCGCTTTGAGCGCCTCAACATTCAGCTGAATTCTTAGATCGTGGAGCGCCGAGCATTATTGCCGGACGCCCCGGATCGATCAGGATTTTCCTTGGCTTCTCAAAGCGCCTCACGGTCGCTTCCACGACCAGCAAGCCCGGCTTACATACACGTTCCGTGTCTAAGAGCACGGAGCTCTTCGGGGCTGGGTCCTGTTGACCTATGCCTCCCTGAGGCTTGATAGAACCCAGTTCTTCCCCCGTATGTCGCCCCGCGCCTACTGAGTGGTGTCGTTTCCCCGCGACGAACCAGACTGGTAGGCGTTGGGCGATGGTTCGAAGAACCTTGACACGCCTTGCCCAGGGGGCAGCTGTTCCGAAA